CCTAATATGATTTGGAAATTTGAGAGCTTGTATTTGGTCATATTATCTTGCAAATTAGGAAAAATGAGCTTAAATAATCCCTTAACATGATGGAGCATTAATCATGGGCCTTTGGGGTCCATGAAATGTTCCAAACCAAGTTTAGCAATATTTAGGATTAAATTAGCACATTTATGAAAATTTGCAAGCTAACACATTCACTAATTTAAGCAAGGAATAAATAACATATGGCTTGAATCATAATTTAGTAGGGAAACATGTATCTTAAAGCCTTTAAGGGATCAAATAACTTTTGTCATGATTTGATCCATTAAGGGCATAAAGATGATTTCCCAAACTCTTGAAAGATTTGCATAATAAAAGTTACTAGCCATCAAAAATTTTATCATAAGCTATGTAACACATCCAAAAGCTAGGTTAATCAAGCACACTTGTTTTAGGATTTTTTTTTTTAAGTGAATCTTTGATATTCACACTAGATCCTACAACAAGTCAAAACAAATATTTTGGATATATTGCAAGACTTATGACAACCATACAAGCTCCACAAAATTTATAAATCATACTTCTATTTCGTCGTGACACTAATGTTGAGTAAGTTCACGTTTACAACATGAAGTTTGGGGTGGATATGCAAGCTACACACTATATTTTTTTACTACGAAAAGCAACATGCCCTAAGATTTGGATGTAGGCGAAGGTGTTAAGCTTAATATGATGCATAACATACATTTGAGAGATGTCGGATAACAACCCGACGCCTCTACGCGTGTCAAAATCCTCTCCGAACTCTTACATAAGAGTCAACTAATGGAAATCGCCTAATTTCCATAGCCTTTGCGAAGTGGACAGCCAACGAATGGTTTTTTTTTTTTGGACCAAAAATTAAAGTTTCTAAGGACCTAAAGCTTTGGATCGTCAACCACATACCATTGGCTAGGGAGCCTTAAGATTTCGCCTAAGTTTCAAAGGTATACCTCTCCCGGTTTGTCTGAGCGCTCCAATTTTTTGTCCAAGTTGCTTTCCAAGGTCCGCTCCAAGCTCCAAAGTCGCTCCAAGCTCCGATTCAAGCTCCAAAGTCGCTGTCCAAGCTGCTCTGGAACTCGCCGCTGCTGTCCAAAGCAATTTGAAGGCCCCAAATCACTGTTTGGGAGATTTAGGAACCTTCGCTTGCTGTTTGGGAGTCTCCAACAACCTTTTTTTGTCGCCTCAAAGTCGCTGGAGTCGAAAGAAGGAGGAGAAACCACTGCAGCGAATATAGAGCCTTCCTTGCGTCGATCCAGGCGGAGTCGTAGCGGTCGGGTCACCGAGGTCAGGCGAAAGGAGCCGAACCTCCTGGCAGGCTTGGTCGAGGCTCTGGATGAGCTCGGATGAGGCCGGTGCACACAAGAGGTAGGCCGGACGGGACTTCCGCACGGAGAGGAGGCTGGAAGGGGCTCTCGCACGCGGGATAGGGCTCCGTTTCACCTGCTGCTCTCCTGCTCTCCTCTTCACTCTATCGGGGCGGATCAACATAACCAAGCACGAAGGAGTCTAATCCCGTCTCCTCTATCTCTCCCGCTCCTTCTACACGCGAAAAGATCGCACTCGAGTGGATCTTCGCTGTAGCCGCTGAAACCAGGCGATTTGACAGAAAACAGAGCGGGATTTTACAGGAAATCTAAGCCGTTTGATTCAAATCTTGATTTGAGATTTGAATTGAGCTAAGACTTGATGAATTGGGCTAAAATTGAGTTCGCATTGGACCCAATTTGAATCGATTAGAGTCGATTCGGACCGAAATGGGTCAGATCGAGCCAATTTTACGAAATTGGGCTCGGATCGAGGCCGAAAAGTGCCGAATTACGTCGAATTGAACTCGCCGACACGCAACGGGGTTTGATTTAAATTGATTTGATTTTAATTTAATTAAATTGGGTCTAATTTAATTAAATTGAGGCTCAATTCGAATTAATTTCACCTCGACGATGATCAATTGAGTTGATCGAGAGCAATCGAGCTTTGTCGGGCTCGATCGGGGTCGAGTCGATGCGAAAATATTCGTCAACACACATTAGGCTGCCTTTTACATGATCTCATGAGCTGCTCGTAAGCCTATTTTTATTACCACGAGCCAAGCTCGAGCTCGACCTCGACTCGAGTTCAAGCTTGCAATTTGGCTAACGAGTCAAGCTCAAGTTAGGCATGACTCGAGCTCGACTCGACTCGTCTACACCCCTAGTTGAAGCTAACCAGGGGCTAGGTTCACGACAACTGTAGGATTGTCGATGGTAGGAGTTAGCTAGGGTAGATGGAGGAGAGGAAGAAGATGAATGCAAAGCAGAAGAAAGGATAAGATGGAACAATGTAGAGGGGATATATGAGTAGGTCGGTCGGCCAACGATATAAGCAGGTGATTGGGAGCAGTAGGCACGGTCTCAGACAAGGTAGGCGTCGGGTGTGGAATGGACAGCAGTTGAGTGGAGCTAGAGCAGCAGGGTCCTCGAGTCACATGAATAAAGAGGAAGAGAGAGGGGGATTCGGCCTAGGATTCACGTGTGAGTAGAGAGGGACGAAGGAGGGAGGGTTGCACGCAAGTGTATTGAGGATTAGGTAGGGACGACCGGCGAGAGGCGCAGGTGAGCAGCAGGCAAGGTGCTTGCGTGCGATACATATAAAACAAGAGAGGAGGGTTTAGGTGCTATAGTGTCATGCGAATGAGAAATTATTACATGCAGAGTCCGAACGTAGCACTACGTCCAAACAACAATTAAATTCTGACATGTGATCATACGCGTGCAGCCCAACGAACCGACCCTATCCAGCGATTTAGAGGTGAAAATTTTAAAATCACGGCAAACCAAAAGTCCTGGCTCAAGGACCCAACCCAGTCCAGTGGGTCCATAGGTGAAAATTTTTAAATAGCGAAAAACCAAAAGTCACTTTTCATCGTCGAAGAAAGATTGCTCTCCTTACAGTTCAGGCGCTTTTAGTCTTCAAACAAGGACCGCTCTCTTCTTCCAGTAGGCTGATTTGTAAGATCAAATTTATCTCAAGAGTGATACTTTATCACTGGATATGTTGAAATGGCGAAGCTACATACTCTGCTTGTGATTTATCTCAAAATAGTTATTAGAGTTTAGGACACTCGGTTGTTGCCTATTTTGCACAAACTACAAACCAGCGAATGTCATTTGACTAGAGATTGTTATGGTGTATTCTTCAATTATTTATATTCAAATGCCCGGACAATGCATGTTTTATACAGAAACTGTATAAAACTTTATATAAAATTATAAAATTTTTTAAGTTCAAAAATTCTCTCAATTGTACAAATGTTGTGGCATACTTATTATATGTGATTTTTTCTCTTTTTAAATCTTTCTACACTTGTACATGGAAATATGATTTTTTTTATAATACACACTGTATTGTTGTGTACAAGCTTAGAGAACAAGATGTCAATAATTTCCGTTGTTTTTGTTGAATTAAAATCATTTGGAGCCTGTAAACAGTCGTGTATTAGGAAAATTTTCTGAAGTTGTTATTTTTTTTCTAATACACATTGTGTATTGCTGTGTACAAGCTTAGATAACAAGATGACAATATTTTTTGTGTTATTTTTTTTCATTTTAAATATTTTGGAGCTTGTACGCAACCGTGTATTAGAAAATTTTTTCTGAAAATGTTATTTTTTCCTAATATATACTGTGTATTGCTATGTACAAGCCTATATACAATGATTTCAATAATTTTTGTAATATTTATGTAGATTTTAAATCTTTTGGAGTTTGTACAAAGCTGTATATTAGAAAAAAAATTAGAAACTGTTGTTTTTCCTAGTACATAGCCATGTATTGCTCTGTAAAAGGTGACAACAAATGACTGATTTCTCTAATTTGCAAAATTCCTACAACAACAACAACATCAAGCCTTTGTAATTTGCAAAATTCCTAAAAATTGAAAACTCACCTTCATGTTATGAATGAATTAGATCATGCCAAAATAGATTTAATGTCTTCCAAAAGCCACATGCATGATCTCCACTATTCAAATGAATTCAAAACATTCAAAACCAAAATAGGGGATCTCTTTTAGGAGTTTTACTTTCTTGTACACGATGTTTTGAAACTTCCTAAAATTCTAAACACACCATGAAATGAGCCTTAGGAGCTTAGGACTGGCGATCTACCTCATTTGTTGCAACACAAAATCAACCAACAATTATCTTCCCTAGACTTAGGACTCCAAATCCTAGTTCCTTCATTTGCATGGCCTAAATTAAACAGATGAACATCTCTCTTTGAACACCCAAAAGTTCACATAACTCCTTTGGTTTGTATTCCAAAAACTACATACCATTGCCCTGATCGTCAGTGGCGTTTGCTTTACACAAATCAAGCAAATCAAATTTCCTGTCTGTTAAAGATGAGAAAATTCCACCAACAATAATATAGTGAGATGAAATATAAAAAAGAAAGCATATTATGTAAATTAAAGAGTTTTGGTATGTATAAATTTTTTATAAAAGTATTAGAAGCTCTGTTGTTTATTTTCATTACTAAAATGACACATGTTTCCATATCACTGAGTATGATGAATCTATTAAAGAATAAGATACATTTTGTGATGACCTAGGCAGACTAATTTTTCACTCACCAAATGCTGAGTTGAAAGAGAAGTCAGGAGAGGTGGGTGGAAATGCATCTGCCTACATTGTCTGCATATGTTACGTCTCATGAATGACTGGAAGGGGATCAAATGGGGCATTGACACATATAGCACATAGAATAATGGTATTTAATTTCCTATATTCACAAGGTTTCCTAGACCACATTCTGAGTCAAATGTGCAGATTTTTCGAACTAAATGTATTATTAAATTAGCTGTTAGACAATGGCCTAATCATCAGAGCTTCAGAGATCAAGAGTCAGCAAATAAGTAATTAAACACTTCCCAAGGATAGAAAAGTATTATCAACTACAGGAAACTTACAGTAGTAAGAATACCTGAATGTCATTCTCATTTGAAACACCCATAATAAAACCTTTGTTGTCGAGGAACTGAAACAAGGAGATAACAAAAAGTTTAATGAAACAAAGTATGTGCTGCTAGTCAAATATCAAATAAAAATTTCATACGAGTATCATGCATGATCAACACAGACTAATAAGCTTCTTGGTGGTTAAGAAAGATATGTGCTGTTAGTCAATTGAAAGAATAATAACGTAGAAGTTATGGTATATTCTTGGCTAGTACCACATGTCTAAGGACAGGAAAAGCCTAGATTTTCATATTTAATTCCATGAGTTCCACTATATAAAGTCCATTTTTTACTAAAAATAACCTCCTTTTTTACTAAAATAACCTAAATCAAAATAAGAAGGTTGAGTGATGCCCAGTTATTAGGAAAAGATTTTTTGTCAAAATGGAACAATGAAGGTTTCAAAAAGAATCTGACTATTTTATTTTTCGTAATAAATCTAGTTTACATATTACAAGTGAATATCTGATCAGTTCTATATTTATTTACAAAGTATCATCTCAACCATAGATTTAATTCATTTCAATTATATGTTGCTGAATATTTTAAAGTTTGTCATAACTTTTCCATCTTGAATGCATTGAAAAGAATTTTGTTGGTTGCAAACATATAAAAATGCCATATGTTAATTTTGACTAGCCTTCTGGTATCACTTATGTCATGCAAACTATCAGGGGTCATATTCTCAAGAAACGTTGAAACGTACAAAAAGCTTAAAAGATTCCTCTTATGTTTTTTAAATTAAGGAATGAAACAGGCACAGCTATTTTATTAATTTAAATCTGCGATCATGTGATTGCTATATGATTGGCCTAGTTTTAGGTGGAATTTCAACACGCTTTAATTAAAGAGTTCATCCAAAAATGATCACACATAATAATTTTCTTCACCAGCATTTTATACTAAATTAACAATATACTAAAATATATCACGTTCTTAATTTGCACATGCACATGCATGCAAAAAAATAGAAAAAAGGTTCACTTATACAAGCTTATGATCACACAAGCATATGCTTAAAGATAGTACTATATCTTAAAATATGAATCATCATAGAAGGAGTTTTTGAAAAGTAAAGTAAATATATTTAAAGATAGTAATATATCTTAAAATGTTTAAAGCATCAATTAAAAAAAATCCCATTTTACCTGAATATAAGGTTGGACGCATTTTGTAATTAGAAATGCAAGAAATTTGATTGTAGAATAAAATATGAATTTTAAAGTTAAGACTTTTTGGCAAATATGACATTTTTATGTTGACTAACTTCCAATATCCTAAAAAAAAGTAACATTATTTGTGCAGCCAAAAGAGTTTTGAGTTTAAGCCAAAATAGTAATTTGCATGGACAATCACAGAGAATTACTATCAGACCCTCAACAATTTTGTCACTGGGAAAGAAATACAGAGAAAAGTTTATAAAGCTGATTTGATAGCTTCCATGGATGCTAATTCGACTCTAACGATGCCAATGATAAGTGAAATAAAACCAAGAGAGGCCGGTAATGCATGTATTTCTATGATAGTTCAAAATATACAATAGAGATATCGAAGCAAAATCAATTATTCAATTAATGTTTACCAAAATAATAACTTGAATCTTTGACCGTTGGTAAGTGCCACAGAGGGATATACTAATCTTTAAATAGGGGAAATCAAAATTTAAGAAAAAATTTTCCTGTTAATCGATAACTTGAATCCTCAAGATTTCGATGTTCCTACTTCCTTTAGCATAAATATCCAACAAGGGATTAACGACTCGTTAAACCCTTATAACATAATCAAAACAAGAAATTCAACTTAGAAATAACAAAAGATTTTGGATTCACCACTCAAAGTAATTCTGCAAAATTCAAACCTCTAAATATTTGTAGGGCAACTTCTTCGGTGATATGAGAAGGCCTTCAATATTATCACCACCAATTATCTTTATTCTACCATCCCTGCAAATAGGCAACCGAAAGGAACAGTTATGCCAGCAGATGTAGACCATACAACATGAAGGACTGCATTTTTTTTTTTTTCCCCTCACATGCTAATGCATGCCTCAGATGGAGCTAACTTTATATAGGTCTAGTATGCTAGCTACATAATGCTAAAATCCTTGCAGACCGTTTTCTGGTGAAGCCTTGCTGATTGTTTTTCTTAAGCAATACATATCCGGATAAAACAAAGGCAAGTACATTATACCATATTTTAATTTTTTTTTGTCATGACACCAAAAAAAATATTAAAATATGGTGGAAGACAGCACGACTATCAGATAAACCTGTTGGTCACCATAAATGTAAATGAATAACTGGAAATGCAGTAGTGCTAATGAAATGATGATTTCTCTTAATATGGCAAAATGATATTTTGTTATGCTAAGTCTTTTACTTTCCAATCTAATCAAGGCGTGACAAAAATTAACAATGGTGACCAGGAACACCTTTAATGCCTGCATAAACTCTTTCATTCAACAATGTAAATGAATAGGCTTGACAGAATAATAAAATAACAACTTTTTCAAAATTTCTTGAAACTTTAAATACAATAACAAAATAACACTTTTTCAGAACATTATTGATGCTTCAAATACTATAATGTGCTGTGATATTTTCCTATCGTGAAAGGAAAGGCCATTGAATTTTTAACATATCTTATTTATATCCATGAAGCAGTTAACAAATTCAAATATTACGATTCTTGCAGCCTATAAATAAACATACGAGTCAAGTTTGTCACTTAATGAATCCCTTAAGATGAAAAATTTAATCTTTCAAAATACCTAGATTAAGGCTAGATTTCCTAATGCACCTATAATGACACAAAGGATGTAGATCATACAAGGAAACTTATGATTCACAAATCACATACCACTAAATACTCAAATGCTTACTACATTTATGTACAAATCAATAAATATGATAATTAAAACCCAAACAAGTCCAAAGTATTTACAAGAAATTTGAACCATCCAAATTAATGAGCAATTACAATTTATTCACCACAATTAGAATCCTAACCGTATCAAATTCGAACAATATCAAGAACTCTAGCAAGCCAACAACAAGATATTTAGAATAAATAAATCAAGGGAAGAATTCATCAAAGTAAAATAAATATCATTCTCACACTGGTACAAGAAAATGCCTTGCTCTAGAAATAGGTTGTCGCATTTGTATTGCATTTGAAGAAATCAAACATTCAACAAGAAATTTTCTTTACGTGAAGCTCTCCATTTGCATGCAACGACCAATCTATTATTTATGGGCCTTTCAAATTTACAACGATAGAATGGCTGACACAACATCGGCTCATTTCTCTTAAATAGTAAATCACTCTTGGCTCAAATATTTTCAATTTCAAATATTTCTTGAGGAAACAACCGCCTATAATAACTTTTCCAAACAAAAACTGCAACCCCCATCACCAAAATCACTAGAAAATCACATGAGGCCTCCCCTCTTAACAAAATGCCAGAATAGTACCACAAACCAACACAGCCACGCTTTTAACAAACATAGCTAGAATATCACCGCAAGTTACAATTAACTCCTTTTGATAAGTTGCACATTTCAGGAGCACAGGGAATCCAAATAATAGGAACCCAAATAGCAAAACAAGGAACCAATGAATGTTAGCAAATAGAAAATCATTAATAGAAATTATGATAGAACATGACATGTTGCAGGTCACCGCAACCACCTCCACCACTTAAGCTAACTAAAGGAAGTAGATAAGTCCAAACCACAAAGAGACAGAACCTAATCCACATTAAATGTCCTCATATGGAATATTAGCAAAAAAAAAAACTGCATATCCAGAAGCAACAGCAAAAGGTTAGCCAACTCCACATCAAATATAAGAAAATATGATACAACAATAATATCAAGCCTTTATCCCACTATTTGGGGTCAGCTACATGAAACATGTTTTTCCATTGTGTCCTATTAAGGGGCTCTTTGGCAAAAGTAGGACTTAACATAAAAGGATTTAGTAAATCCTGGGTATGTAAGATCCTGAAAATTTTTTGGCATTAAATTCTATTAAATCCGGTGAAACTATTTGGCAATGTAATCAAGGATTAAAGGCAGTTTGTTCATTTAAAAATTAAATTTAACGTGTTATGCATTTTGTGTTAAGAACAAGTTACTTATTAATTTTAATTTTAATTACAGTCAGTAATTATATAATAAATAATTTAATTAGAAGTTTGCTTAATTATTACATAATTTAAATTAGTAATTATAATATTGTTTAACAAATTACTTATTTAGGTGTTAATTTAATAAATATTTGATATTTAGTTACATTAATCATTATCTAATTAATTGGTTAATTATTTTTTGAAATAACTAATTTTTAATAAATACTCCTCCTAATGATTTAATTAATTTTTAAAGTACTATTTAATTAGTTTTAATTATTAGTTATATTATTAATTATCTCATTAAACAATTAAATATTTACTACTAATTAATTATTAAATTATTGTTTATAATGTTATGTAATAAAAAATTTTTATTTTAAATTATATTAATTAAATTATTTCTTTTAATTTTTAATTACTAATTATTTAATTAATCTAGAATTTGCTTTTCATCTTCTCCATTTCTTTGTTATTGTTGCTTTTCCTCGTTGCCATTTCTTCGTGCCTACTTCAGTCTCGCGTGCTTCACGTGAAGTTTGAAGGCGTCGTGCTGTGTATTGAAAGGGTCGTTAAGCTTCTTCACCTCCTTTGACAACGGATTGGAAGTCACGATGAGAGCTTGCTTGCTGCGAAGGTAACCATCCTTATCCCTTTCGCGCACGCTTCAGCCAAATCCCATAAATCCGCCAAACTACATAAGTTAAGAAATCTGGGATTTATGGCAAAATGAGGACAACGGAGGATTTCTTATACCATGAGATTTATCGAGCCCTCATCCCATTTGGCAAGATTTAGCATAAATCATGCTCAAATCCTGCATAAAACCTATTAAATCATGTTGCCAAACAGACCGTAAGAGTCAAATTCTCATTTCAATATAATAAAAAACTGTTATTTCTAATACTTTCTAACCAAGTCTTTTTAACTTTACCTCAACCTTTCTAAACATAGGTCAGATCTAACATAAGAAAATATGATTGAACCTTCATAAATTACTTTTGCCAAGCATTTAATCACACAGTTTAAAAGAGGCAAACCTGAAAGAAAAATGATGAGATCTACTCTTTACAATTAAGTCTTAGATCCATGTCAGCTAGATAAATATAGGGTACAAATGTTAAAGTAAAATCATTGATAATGCTCATAGAGTTTATGCATGATAACATTTAATAATGCAAATGTCATGTTTACATTTAAAAAAACAAAAATTAAGAAAGAGAGGAGATTAAAGTATAACAACATCACCATCATTAGTTGTAAACACACTTTTGCAATTAACACAACCACTAGCATTTTCTACTTGTCATTAAGGAGGCGAAATTGCTTATTTCAAGAAGAATGAGTGAAACCTCATTTTAATTTGTTAATACACTTGTATCAATTCTAGAAAAAAGGAGAGATAGATGAGACCATAAAATCTAGAGTTAAAGTTGTGTGGTGAAAGTAGAGAACAATCTTAGAAGGATTATGCAATAAAAAAAGATTATGAAAACTTGAAGATAAAACTTATAGCATTGCAATCAAGCTATTCCGAGTGTTGGAAAAAAAAATGCACTGATATGAAAGATAAGGATGGATGAAATTAAATGTTAAAATAAATGCATGGTAAGGTGAACTGGAGGATGGATAGGAATTAGTTATATTATAGTACATTTTAAAGATAAGGTGATCGGGCATGTATAATAGAATCCAAAAGATGACTAATAAGGAGAGTAAGCATAATTAATGTGGAAGGATTAGTAAGTAAAAAAAATACAACACAAATAAAATGGTTAAAAGATGTGCATAAAATAGCATGCACAAAATCTGGTTAATACCTCATCTAGATTCAATGTAAATGAATGCAGAAAAGCATACTTAAATCACAGCTAAAAGTCTTGGGCTGACACTAATGGTATGATAAATCAATAATGGAAAAGGTCAATAGTTTTCCAGTCGAATTTTCTGAATTTATAGCAATGTTTTGAAAAGAAAATTTATCTCAAATTTTAGAGGATTTCATAATAAACTAGCCATAATGACCTTAATTTCATGGATCGCAGTAACATATAGAACTAAAAATATGAAAAAAGTATTGTAATATAGACTGCAATGTGCTTCATCTTGTGCATGGGGGTTTTCAAGTGACTAAAAAGTTCTCCTTCTTGGGTTAAACAAATGAACAAAAAGGATCAACAAGTTCAATAAAGAGAAAGCTACATTCTTGCAAAGAGGTTCATCTTCTTTCTACTTGTGAAATTAAAAGCAAGGTGATTTACCTATTCATTGTTTCACATATATGTATTCCCATACTTTTAATAGTTTTTTGGATTTCATCGTGATACAAGACATTGACCACATTTGCAAATAATTGCACTTGCTATCCCTTACACTTTATTGTCTTCCATTCTTTATTTCTGGTGTGTTATAGTCTCTATTTTATGCAGCACTCAACTAAAATAAATGGAAGGTTCATAAATTTGACATCAAATAGTTAAATCAGACTAATGATGATGATTTCCTCTCTTTTATAGGAAAGAGATGCCATTTTGTCCACATATATACTTATCTTGGATTCAACTCAACATATCATCAGTATATCATTCACATGATCTTTACAGGTGTGCGTTATCAGGATAGAACAAATTGACAGATTCAACGGATCAAGTGATGGGGACATCAATGCATGGAAAGTTTATCATAGAAGGGGCCGTAGATCGACGACCACGATTGAGTCATTATATTATTAGTTGTTATGTGTTATATGTGATTTAATTTAGTTTGTGAATTTTTCTTTTATATTATTTTGTAAGCCCAAGGGTATTTGTA